GAGGGGGATAGGAGCACCCTGCAGTTCTGGCAGGGAGAGAGAGGCAGTGAGGGGGACAGGAGCAGACAGAGTCGCGTTGCTCTTCAAGCCCAGCGGGAGACACCAGGGCCTACCTCACACCGGTAGCAGTCCTCGTGGAAGCAGCGGCCCAGACACTCCACAGTGTAGGCGTCCTTGCCGTCCTCCCTGGGGACGATCAGCTGGCGGCACACGCTGCACTCGGGGGCGAACGTCCTGCAGGAGGGACGCAGAGTGACCTCGAGACAGGACACAACCGGACTCCCTCCCGCGGTGAGGGGCAGCAGATGTATTTCACGTGATTTTAGCCTCCCTGCCTGTGCAAGTTGTCAAGCCATGCTAACGGTGCTGCGCTCTGGGAGTCAGGCCTGCTTGCCTGTCTGGTGTCTCCGGGGCTACAGGGAGGGGCAGTACCTGTAATAGTCCTGGAGGCAGTACAGCTCGTTCTTGTCATCCACGGCGAATTTCTCTTCTCCGATTGGTCTGCTGCACACTGTGCAGATGAAGCATTCTGGGTGGGAGGCCTTGCCCATGGCCCTAATCACGTGATCCTGAATCACCTGACTGCAGCGCATGCACCTTTCCAGAGTGGCCTGCAGGGGGAGACAGAGGACTGTCAGTAATAAGGAACCACATTTTCACAAAAAAGAATAGAGCTGTAACAGCACTGCTGGTAGTAGCAGTAGTGTCATTACTTTTAAGTCTACTATAAAGGTGTACAAGGATCTTTAAGGGGTACCTGGCTTTTTTTTATTTCTGTACATTTTTTGTCAAGTGTTTTCAGATGATTACTTTTAAAGGCACTGCATAATACCGGTATTAATATTGTTATAATTAATACTGCGGTGTAATATGAGGAGACTGTGCATCCACGGCATCTGGCAGCAGCATTTGAAACAACTGCCAGCAGTGTGGTTCTGCTAGAAGTGGAACTGTAGGAGAAGTAAGACTGGGGAACAGCAGTGTCAGGAGTACAGGCAGCACTGATAACA